AAGAGAAAATGGTTACTGCCATGAAGGTTCCCATCACCCAGGGCTGACTGCCGTCTCTTCCATAAGCACATTTATTTAAGAGGCGATTTGGAATGTGACAATGACATTTGGTGTGTGTACATAAAGGGGTCCTAAATGAATGTACGTATCACCTACTTTTTACTCCCAGCACCTCACCCCCTCAGCCTAGATTTCTCCACTTAGCTGTTGCCATTTGGTAGAAGAACGAAGCTCAAAGCCTATGCTAATGTGCCCAAATCCTCCTTAATTCCGTCCCTGTGAGTGAAGATATTTGCCTCAACTAACCGAGTCCAGGTTATTTTAGTAGCAGCTTCTGAGTCCAAGTGAGTAGCCCCTTAGAGAAGAAGTCAGCAGTGTTGCTGTTTCCAAACCTCCTCCCTAGACATTTATTTGCCATAAAGAAGTCAGCACGCTTTATGGCTGGCATCTAACGGGGTCTGCAGGGACGTCCAGGGAGCACGTCTCAGCTGGTCCTCTGACACACAAGCCAAGACTGGGCCTTCCGGGCCAGGGTGGGACTTCTGAGGGTAACGTTCAGATTTTTGTTTTATTAAAAATGCCTGCATAGTTCTCCTCTCCAAATTGTAATCCAAGCTTGACTGGCAAATGTGTCCTTTTAGGGGCCCCTTTGTGGACCCCTGACTTCATGTCTCCCTTCTGACACTGAGCAGTATTTGCCATGCAATCATCAGGCACATGACCAGCCACTCTCAGGCCAGGGCTGCCTGGTCTCTGCCTGTGTTGTTTATTTTACATCCCCACCAGGACGGCAATTTCCCCCTGGGAATTACCAGGTTCTTCCGCCTGTGCTGATTTAGAGGCCCTGTACCTGCTTTGGCCCAGGTCACGTGCACTGATCTGCTCATGCCTTGCTGTAGACCGAATGTTTGTGTCCCCCTGAAATTCACATGTTGAAATCTTAACCCTGAATGTGGTGGTACTGGGAGGTGATTAGGTCATGAGGGTGGAGCCCTCAGGAATGGGATTAGTGCCTTATAAAAGAGACCCCCGAGAGCTCCCTTGCCCCTTCCACCAAGAACTATGAAAATAAATGTTTGTTGTTTAAGCCACTCAGTCAGCGGTATTTTTGGGGTAGCACCCGAACAGACTAAGACATACTGGTTACCATGTGCCACTGGGCCAGACACGGGAAACACTCCCACACACATCAGGGCTGCACTGCCTTCCACAACCTAAAATATTGCTTCTCGTTCTAAATCAAAGCCCTGGCGACCTGTCTTATCCTCTCAGAAAGGTTTAAGTGAGGGATGTTCAGTTAACTCCTTTTGTAAATCTGAGCTGTTCAATTCCCCTTGAGTGGACTGGAGCGGAAGAGAAGCCGGTCTGAAACCCTCTACCGCTGATGCGGTGCTCCACCCAGACTTGGGCCTTCATGTGAACAGTCCTGACATCCTTTGCCAATATTAACTCTCACAGCCTACTCCGCGCCTTCCCATCGTTCCGTAGTATCGACCATTTTGCTAATTAGTGTTATGAATGCAGACTGCCAGTTGAGGGGCTCCCTAAAGTGGACGTTTTTACAGTTACCCACTATTTAGGTAATGTAGGTTCTGAACATTTAACATTATAGGGTGTGTGAAGATTATTTGGCTACCTATTTAAGATGAGAAAGAGTTCTGCGAGGTCAAATCCGCTTTATTGGATGAATTTGCAGCAGTACAGTGGTGCTCTTTTTAATAAGAAGATTGACGAGTCCTACCCAGGGAGAAAGAGATGTGGCACAGCAGTTTAAGGAGATGTCGTTAGCAGAAACCAAGCCGAGCAGAGTAAGTGGCTTCTTTCCGAAAACAGATATTCCCTATCTAATCTCTTCTCACAGCTCATTAATTCTCGAGGAATCAGACAAAGGTGTTTCCCAATTATCCTGCCACAGGAGGACCAGCCGGTGGACGGAAGCTGAAGCTCCACAGCACAGCACACCTCACGGATCGGCCATCTGAAGAGGAGGGCTCTCCCCGGCCCCCAGCTAAGGAGACGCCCCGGAGGTGGGCGTGACACAGGATGGTGGCCCATCTGTGTTTGTTGGGAAGGCGCTTGGCACTGAGGCCCTGCTTCCTATTATCATCTGTGGACCTGAGCAAACTAGTTAATCTTTTTGAACCTTAGTTATCTCATTAGTAACGAGAGGTTACTAGGAGCTTTCAGCAGCGTCTGAGAGTTAAATACGATCATCTCAGTGGAGGGCCTAACCCTCGGCTGGGCACACAGCACGGGCTCAGTGAACGGCGCATGTGCAGAGAGGTGGTCAGGGCACATTGTTAGAAGACAACGGGCAACTTTTTTTTCGTTTCCTGTTTTTGGCAACTTCAGTACAAAAAATTCAAGTTTCTGTGTCTCTCACCTCATACGAGACACGTGGTGGAGGCCTGCTGGAAGGCAGGGCATGGGAGAAGTAACGTGAAAGAAGGGGCCCAGCCATCATGGATCATGAGAGGGGAGGTTCTCCCCAGACAGACAAGGGCTCTTTCCCCTCCATCAAAGCCAACTACTCAACCAGGATCTCAGAGCGCAGAAGAGAAGGACAGGAAGTGGGCTCTGACTGCGCACAGGGCCATATCTGAAGGGGAGAGTCATGGGCGATGTCCATTCTACCTGGCCTGGGAACAGGGTTCTTTGGGCAATGGTGTCAACACGTATCAGGTGTCAGATTGATGGAGAGAGGAGAACTGGTCAGAATTTACCTTCTTCTGAGTTCCCTGGGGGCTTCTCCCTTACAGGGGACGTTTGTTTCCAGAGGAGAAGGACACGGACGCTAAGGCCAGAAGTTAGCTTCCAAAGCTTGCTGGGTCTGACAAGTGAGCTAAAGCTTTGGAGTTTTGGGGATGTTGAGGCCTGAGGGAAATACTGGTGGCCCCACCTTACAGCCTGGTTCAATTCCCTGTGGCCCATCAGAAGTGATGGGTGGGCTCAGAGCCAGGCAACTAAGGGCTATGACCCACAGGTGGCTTGTGTGCAGGTGCAATGTTTCTAAAGGGACCCAGTGAAGCTCTGGCCCTCAACAGACTTTACATTTCAAAAGTCCATGTTTACACAAGAACTTCCAGAAATGATTTGAAGAACTTTTCAATCTTCAGTTGGATCTACTGGTCATCAAGAAGGATTTCTTTGGGATATGAAGGGCAGTGTTCTTGCATTTGAATTTTGATGAGACAAAGCAGCTGATTAGTCACAGGGATTAGAATATGTCGGCTCTGGCCTATCAGGGAGCTTTAGAATAGGACCTTATTGACCCCTTTCTCTTCTGTAGCCTCTGCGGCTTCTGTAGTTGGCTGAGATGTGATTTGGTCCAGGTTCGGGGAGGCTACTGCAGAGTTAGAGAGCTGGAGAGTGGCTCACTTGGCCAGTTGGGAGATGCCTCAGAATCATAATGGAGGCCAATGTGAGACAGGCCCCAGGCCCCAGTCCAGCTCCAAAGCTGCCTTCCCCTGTGGTTTCCCATCCTTGCTTAGCTGCCTCACTTTGGGCTGTAACCCACAGGCACTGATCAGTTTTGACTGAGGCAGGTTTTAGATCTGGCTGGGTGTGAGGAAACAGTCCTTCTTGTAAGCTCTGGATCGAGTGGGCCTGGGATGAGCACCCACCCTAGAGTTCCAGCTGTAGCTCTTCCCACCACTGGGGCATCCAGTCTTAGTGGTGGGCTCCCGGCCTTAGATTCCTGATTGCACGCAGTTCCCCCACTGGGGTATGTAGGCTGCCTGCGTCCCTTCCCCTGAGGGCAGGATTCTCCATTGCCTCCAAGACCTGCTTCACCACAGAAGGAACCATGACTCAGTGCCGTGCCCTTGGCCAGAGGACCCTGCTGGCTCCCTGGCCCCTGAGCCCATTTCTCAAGATCCAGCCCTTGGGCCCAAGCGCAGGGTCCCCTTCCCCTGAGTGTGACAGTCTGCGAGAGGCAGTTCCCATCTCAGACTGCCTGCCTCCTCTCTCACCAGCCTCAGGACCTGGAAATCCCAGCCCAAGGGGAGCTGGCCCTGAGATCCCAGAGCAATCCCCTTCCCTCCGCCTTAACCTTCTGCCTCACTAAGTAAGGAGCAGCTCGCACTCCCAGGGAAGGTGCTTCACATCTGGGCAGGAAAATGATCCCATTTTCAAAGGCTAGTTGGGGGCTGTGAGTTGTGTGGCCTCTATAAATCTGTGGCCAGGGGAGTGTCTGAAATCTCTCTCCAGGTCCAGGTCAGCTAATCGGAAGCCTGTCTACTTCAACACATACCAGATGTGCTTCATCGACACGGCAATCTGCTCTGTCCTCTGGACTGGAAAAGAAAAGCCCTCCGAAGTTGTCCTGCTCGAGGGGCAGCTCTACTCTTTTCTCTCCTAATGTTCACCCCTCCCCGATTCTCGCGCTGATTCCCCCTGCCCCACGTTTCCGAGGTGGGAGGAGGCCACGCTTCTCCTCCCTTCCAGGGCAGCATCCCTGCTCTCTAGCCCAGCCGCCTGGTTAGACCCCTGCCGGCCAGGCTGGGGGCCCAGCGCTTCTGGTCCAGCCTGGACTTGAAAGGGAAGCTGCCTCTGCAGTCACTTCTCACTTTGCTTCACATCCCATAATTTGCCAGATAACAAAGACGTGCTGAGCCCTGAAGTCAGACATCTTGGCAAAAATTGGTGCTGATACTTATTTCAAAATTTGGGTTGCTTGTCTTCCCCTCTGCTCTTCTGCCCTCTGCCCTCCCTGTTTCAGCACCGACCAGCTCATCATGCCCTCTGACATTCAGCTTTCTCCCTGGATCGCACCACAGGCTCTCCGAGGATGTGAAAGAAAAACCACAGTGAAGGTTAGAATGACTTTGAGATTCTTGGGCCAAAAGTACCAGCAAAGCACGAGCTGGAGTGCTCTTCTTGGCAGGAGGTGCAGGGCACAGTGTGATTGGGAGTGGCCAGGAAGTGACTGAGACAACCAGATAGGTGCTCAGAGGTGCTCTGTGGCCCCAGGCCACCTTCTAAGAGTCACCCTAAGGACGTCAATTAGCCAGCAGGTCACATTTGATTTGAGGAACACAGCAAAGGGAAAACACACACTCTTCACAGAGAATGATCGAGATGGTTGAGGGCCTGTCCTCTGCAGCTCTCAAGGAGTGGGCACTGGTCTCAGATTTGAAAGAATTGCCTACATGACTCGAATCAACCTTAAGTCATGAGGTCTGTGAGCTCACCCTAGGACTGGGTTCTTGAGCTTCCAGAAAGGCAGAATCCCTCCTCCTTGAGTTCACAACAAGCCTCAGGGTGGCAGGAATGAAGGGAAGGGGGCAACAGCCCTCCCTCAGTGTCAGCCCCTGGATGGGGCTACCAGTTGGTCTGTGAGATCCAAGGAGGGAAGTGATCCCGGGCCAGTTGGCAGAGAGAGGAGTGTGTGCAAACAGAGGCCCCCCTGTAACTCTCACCATGGGGCAACCCCTTCTGGCCTGGCCCTGGGCCGGTGCTGGCAGGGGCTGGGAGGGAAGAGGCAGCATCACCATGGGCCCAGGCAAGAGGCTGCTTGCTCCGGAGGCCCTGAGCTGGGAGGCTCCAGGACTGGATGTAGTCCTTCCCCACAGAGCCTTGACAGCTCCTGGGTCCCCCAACAGCCCCTCAGCTAATTCTCCCCTCCACCCCCAGCTTGACAGCATCCATACGTGTAGAAGACAATGAGGGGAGGCTGTGGGGAGAGTGCAGCCTCACATGGAGCCCCTGATCTCCCGGGACCCACTCAGCCCCTCTGACTCATCTTCTCCATCCTGCTCAGCCTCTGCAGCCAGCTCTGCTTTAGCACAGCCCCCTGGCAGTGGGGAGCTGGGGAGGTACTGGAGGAGCCGGCCTTCCCGCTTCATTTCTGCCAGCTCCTTGGCACAGCAGCTGGGCGTGTAGGTCTCGTAGGTGTCATGAAAGGTGTTGTAGTCCACCTCATAGAAGCCCTTTTCCAAGGTGAGGACGGGCGTGAACCGGTGGCCCCAGAGCACCTCTGTGTCCATGTAGGAGCTCCGTGCTTGGCAAGTCATGCCTGGGGGAACAGAGGGCACATGTATTAGGAGCGGCCACAGCCATCTATCCCTTTATCGTCCATCCGTCCATCCATCCTCCATCCATCGTATATCCATCCATCCAATCATCCACCAAACATTTGCTCAAGAGCTGCTTTGTGCTAAGTGTGATGGAGATATAAAGCTGAATAAGACACAGCCTTCGCCCTGGAGGAACTCAAGCTGTGGTGGAGGCAGAAAACTCGAAATCAACATGAAACATTCTGGAGTAGTTTCCTAGAGACTGGAGTGGATAATTCTGGAATAGCTGGAGCTAGGAACATGGTTCCTGAAAACAGCATTAAGGTCTAAAAGATTGAGACAAGAAAAGAGGCAGGAAAAGGATTTGAACGAAGATCAACTCAGAGTCAGTGAACGTGGAGAAGCTGACAGGCATTTAGAACACGTGGGGACTGTTTCTGGTAAACACACATGAGCAGAGGCGTCCTCACTCTCTCTCTCTCTCACGCACACTCCCCCCCCCCCCCCCCCCCACCGCCCCACACACACAGCTCGGCTCTTCCATCTGAGCACGCTCCGGTGCCTCCATTCCCTGTCGGCTCAGCCCTGGCATGCCTGTGTTATTTTTGGGTGTTGCTTTCTCTCCAGAGAGGGAGGGCAGCTTTGCTTACGGATGAGGAAGCCTCTGTGCTCAGGGTCACAGGAAGCAGCTTTCTGATATTTAAGCTTCTGGCCGAGGAAGAAGCCAGCTTGTGCTCTGTGGGGACTGAAGGAGCAGGCTGCTCCAGCTCCCCAGCTTGGGCTTTCTCTGGCAGGGCAGCTCATACAAAGCAGACCAGCTCGAAGGCTGCTTCCCGCCCATGTGTGCTCCAGCGCAGGGCAACCCCAACACACCCCACACACTGCGGGCTTGCAGCCTGCTCTCTACTCTGCTCCCAGGGGTGCCGCCTGGGCCAGGCCTCTCTGTTTAGTCCTTGCCCCCTATTGCCCAACAACACCCCCCCCCCCAGCAGAGATGTAGGTGCCCAAGCTGGGCGCTGAGTGGCCTAGAGCCGGCTAGATGTCTGCTGGCGCCCCCAGGGGGCCTCAGGAAAGACAGTGGGACAGGACTTCCGCGGGAACTTTGGGCCAAGCCTCCTGGGGCTCTCCCTGCCCTTCTTCTGTCCGCCATCTCAGGAGGTGGCAGTGGGCTGCCCCGTAGCTAGAGATCCCACCATGTCCCTGGCTGTCATCTCTCACTGCATTTGGGAAGGATAGAAGGCCGTCTGGGAGCCAGGTGCCATGCTTTACATCGGTTACTCCACTTCATCATTTAACCCCCGACAACCCTGAGAGATTTAGTATTCTCATTTTGCTGATAAGTGAAGCAACTTGCCCGCACTCACCAGGCAGGTTATAGCAGAGCTGTGCTAGTCCAGCTTCGGTCTGAATTCACAGCCCTTGCTTGGCTCCATAAGTATGGCAACCAATCCATTAACATCATTGAGATCAGAACAGATGTGGGAGGGCGGTCTCCTGCCCTTGGGATCCTGGGTCTCCCTGCAGTCCCAAGCACAGCAGCAAGGGTAACCCAGGTCACGGGAGGGGATGAGGTCAACCAGATAGGGCAGATCAACTGTGGCCCACTGACTTTGAGGGAGACGTGAGAGAGGAGGCCGCTGGGCCAGGTTGGCACCCAATCCCCCCACTGCAGGTGGCCAGGAGGGCAGGGGGCAGTGGTGAGGCATGGCTTTCCTATTTGTCCACATCTCTGAACTGACCCCTCCTTTGTGGCCCCAGAGTAGGGCTCTTCCTCCCAGAGTCTCAGCCCATACTCCAATCCTGAGCCCAGCACCAAGGGCAGCATGACCTGTGAGCCCCCAGCTCTGCTGGAGGAGGCTTCCTGAGTCCCGACTGTGCTTACCCCCAGGGCCTCCACAGCTGCCACCATATGCTGCCTGGCCAGGCTGCGGACCCCAGCAGATGGCCATGCAGCCCCCTCTGCACCCGTCCCTGGAGCGTGCTCACACCCCCCAGCTGGGTTCCACAGGCTCTGAATGGTAAAGTTTGTGGATGCCTCTGTCTGAGTCTCCCACCCAGCAGCCAACTTCCCGAAAGGCTGGAAGGCTTGTTGGCCACCTTTGTGACAGGCCCCTGATATTTCAGGGGGCAGTGTAGTGTGGTAGGCAAAGCTCTAGATGTGGAAGTGAGAGACGTGTGTGAATGAAGTTTCTTCCTGTTTGCACAAAGCGGCATGATGCAGTTTCCATGTCTGCAAAGGCTGACTGAAGCCAGCCCTTTGGTGTTGTTACAAGAACTAGAAAGATATGTGTGTGTCGTTCCGAGCATGACTGAGTTTCCTATAAGTCGTCACTAGGGCCAGACCAGCTGCTCAGTCTACTTGGTGAAAAAAAGAGAAAGGAGAGAGGAGGAAGAAAGGGAATAAGAAGAGGGTACAGGGTTTGGCTGGAGAGCTTTTGTCCCAGGAGGTCTGGCCACAGCAGTGGGGGAGGGAACTCGGGATCCCTGGAGCCCCGCACAGAGCTTGGCCTCGGTGGAGGAGTGGTGGAGCTCGCGGCCACCGGCTCGGTAGCTGAGCAGCAAGGTGCCAGGCTGGCAGCCACGAAGAGGGCATTTCTTGGGCATACGTGGATGTGGGTGCACTATTTTCTGCATGCCCTGTGTTCACTGAGCCAGCCTTCCACAGGGCAGCTGAAGGGCAGATTGCTGGTGGTGGGGTGGGGGTGGGGGGTGATGAGGGGTTGTGCCCAGCCAGAAGAGCTGCTCCCGCGGGCCTGGCGCACAGGTTTATCTCCAAAAAGAGGCTTCTGTGATGTCGGGAATCCTTGAGTTTGGCAAATGCTGCACCCTGTCCTTTGCTCATGAAGTAATTCATAATGGGGAAAGACACCATGAAGTCCCACGTAAAGAAGCCAGTTCACCCTTGTTGAACCCTGTGTTTCTTGAAGTTATCTGATCACAGAGCTCTTTTTGGGTAGATAGCTGCTCCAGAACGGGGTTGGGGCATAGTGTAGCTTGCTGGACATCAGTGCCGGCTTTGGGGTCCCCCTGCCTTGATGTGCATTCTGGCTCTACGATTTAGCAGCACTTGCTCTTGGGCAAATAACTTGCCTGTCGGTGTCTGTTTCTTTATCTGTAACTTAAAGAAAACTATCTCACGGGGTGTGGGAGAGCATTAAATGAAATATTGTATGTTTAAAGCTTAGACCAGTGCTTGGAAGTTGGGAAGGTTCAATAAATATGGCTGTTATTACTCCATCTTGATTAAAAATACCCCTCAGATCACGAGTTAGAGTCTGGGCTGGTTGATTGTGCCATCCAGGTTCTCAGGCACAAACTTCAATCTTCTGGATATGTACCTATCGCTGGGACTTTTGGAGTCATGGCGGCCTAATCTTGTGGATGTGGTAAGGGCAAAGGAGGATAAAGTGTCTTACCTGTTGCCTCCACCATCCCTTCTAGAATGACCACGACTTCAAACTCCTCCTGGTCCAACTGGGCCCGAGACATCTCCCAGAAGGGGCTCTTCTCGTTGATCTCGTGGGAGATGATGAGTGGCGATACCAGGAAGAGACGATCATCTCCAGTGTCGAAACCCACATTAATGTCAGTCTGGTTCAGGGGGATGAACTCCCCTTCTTTGGTCTGCCGGGACTTGATGAGCTTGGCACGGATAGAGGCCTCCACAATGTGGGAATTGCGAAGGTCACCCACCCGGAACATGAGGCAGAGCTTCTCATCCCGCATGGAGATGACCGCGTTGTTGGAAAACATGAGGGTCTCCGCTCTCTTCTTTGGCTGACTGATCTTGACAAACATGCACCCCACCATGAAGGCATTGACAATGGAGCCGAGGATGGCCTGGACCAAGAGGAGTATGATGCCCTCGGGACACTTCTCTGTGATCACTCGAAAGCCATACCCGATGGTAGTTTCAGTCTCAATGGAGAACAGGAAGGCAGACACAAAGCCACTAAGGTTTTCAACACAAGGAATCCACTCCTGATCACCAACATGGTCCAGATCGCCCCGGATATAAGCAATGAGCCACCAAATGAAACCAAAGAACAGCCAAGTGATGGTGTAGACCATAGTGAAGACAAGCAGGTTGAAGCGCCACTTGAGGTCCACCAGGGTGGTGAAGAGGTCACTCAGGTACCGATAGGTCTCTTGGACGTTGCCATGGTGGACATTGCACTTGCCACTCTTCTCCATGTAGCGCTGGCGGGGCTTCTTGCCTTCTGCCAGCAGGCGAGTGCGGTCTGTGGCAATGGGGATGTAATCGCGGGCCTGTTTGGGAATCTTCTTCGGGTCCCTGGGAGTGACTCCAATCTCCATATCCTGGTTCATAGCATTCCTAGAATCGCCAGCCATAGCTGGGAGATGTGGAGTTTAAAAAAGACAAGATCAGTGAAGTGGATTGTTCTGATTCACAGAATCACAAGACTTCAAGGTCACTCCTGCCCTGTTCTCTCAAAGGCCTATCATCTAGTGTCCAGTAGACCAGACTGTGGAATTCTCAAGGGCAAGGACCATGTTTTCTTATATTATTGGCTCGTATACCTGGTGCCTAGTACAGGTGCTAGTATATAATGGAAGCTCAATAGTTGTTTGTTGATTGAATAAATGAACATTTCCTACATGCAAACTGCACGTTAAGCATTTAAAGGGTTTAAGGAAATCTGGGAGCAATTAAAAAAATTGCAACAATTTTTTAAATGTAGGAACTGCCACTTCTTGCCACCACAATGACCCATTGGAGTTCAATCTTGTCATCTCCATTATATAAGTACTATAACATCGTGTATATTTCTCATGGTGTCTTTCCCTGCGTTCGAGGGTGAGCTCCCCAAGGGCACAATTTTGTGTCTGTTTTCTTCTCTAACAATTTCTGAACACCCAGAGCGTAGCCTGGCACATACTAGGGACTTAAAAAGTACTTATTGAATAAATGGGCGAACAAATAAGAAAACAGTCCCAAATAGGTTAAATGTCACCCGGGCCACCCAACAAGTAAGTGACAGAGCTGATCTCTGGATTCTTGCTTGTCAGGCCCAAAGCCTGTGCTCTTCCCTTTGTCCCTCCTGGTCTCCCTTCCTTTCATCTGAGATCTTAGCAGCAGACAGAAAGGAAAAGGCCGCGTGAGTCTAATTCACCCTGTGGTCACTCCCACCGTCTGGGTGGGCCGTCTGTGGCCAGCTGAGCGCTTACTGACATGACAAACCGCTGTGTAGACCCATCATTAAAACTCTTGATGCAATAATTTCCTGTCCTCTAAGAAATTGAGGTGGGCAAGATAGTAATGCCCAAGGTTTTCGAAAGGGCTACAACTCATATGTGGAAGCTCAAAACACCCCACGAAACCCACAGATGTAAACAACAGATTGGTGGTTCCCGGAGGCAGGGGCTCGGGTGTGCGAAATGGGTTAGGTGGTTGAGAGGTACAAATTTCCAATGACAAGAGAACAAAGTCCTGGGATGTAACGTACAGCATGGAGACTATTGTTAACAATACTATGCTGTGTATCTGAAAGCTGCTAAGAGAGCAGGGCTTCAGAGACCTCATCACAAGAAAAAAAATGTAACTTTGTGGTGATGGATGTTAACTAAACGTACCGTGGTGATCATTTCACAACATACACATATATCAAATCGTTATGTTGTATACCTTAAACTAATACATGGTTATATGTCAATTGTACTGCAATAAAAAATAACCAAAAAAGGCTGTCAAATGGTTTTAGAGCATATGCCACACTTTAAAGAAATACCTCGAAACTTGGAGTACTCAGTCTACTGTTTTTCTGATACTGAGCTCACATCCATTTAAGACGCCTTAAGACTCTGATCAAGCTAGGAAAGACCATGAGAATCTCTGCAGCTAATAACAACTGCTAAGAAATGTATATCCATCTGCTCATTTATAATCTTCACAAAGAAGCTGTTAGACAAGTACTGTTATTCTCGCTCCAATTTTCAGATGAGGAAAATGAAGGTTGAGTAGTAAGTGCTGAGTTAGTTTGGGACCTAGGTTTATCTGGCTCCAGCCCCAGGGCTTACAGCACCCACCATACAGGCCTGAGGACACTGATGTTCTGTGGCTCGTGTGTAGATCGATGAGCCGCTCCCAGGCACCTCTGGGGGTGCTATTATTCAGCTCTTCTTCATCTCCTAATCAAGCTTTTCTTGATTTCACAGGTACTCCCCTTCCCAGGAAACTGTGTCCCTGATAGGACAACCTGGATTAATATTCTATAAACCATGCAGCCAACTGCCTCACTGACGAACGAGGAAGATTTCGCCCACTGAGGGAAGTCGGATGACCTGGCAGACCTTTCCCTCTGCTGCCTGGGCGGCTGCAGCAATTTCAAGGTAACCTCTACGACACAGTGCTGAAGTCATCAGAAGCGCTGTTTGTCTCAGACATCCGTTGGCCATTTCCCATTCTGCACAGGGCCACCTGCTCCCTGCTCCCTCACGTGGCCGTTACAAAGATAAATGAAACAAGGAGGGAAATGCTTGGTGCCGCTTTGCAGAATCCCAGGGATGATTCTGCTCTACCCCTAGGTGGGAGACTGTTGACTGAAAACTCAGTCAGAGATGCCCAGAAACAGTGGAAAATCCCGAGGCTCTGTGTGTTCCCGGGGACCCCAACGGTTGGAACCCACATAGGGGCCTGCCAGGAGGGCTGCCCGTGGACTCCGGAACGGCTGACACTGGGCAGGGCCGGCGCAGCCCTGGCGAGAATGAGTCATCAGCCAGCGCTCCTGGGAAAGCACCATCTCCTGCCCTCAGCTCTTTTGGGAAAATAGCTTTCTGCTGATTTTCTGCACTGTTTCCTTCTTTATTTTTAAACATACTTTCATACGTTCTTGTAGGAGAACGCCTTGCGCCATACTAGAAACAGAAAAGGTTTTCTAGGACACCTCAGCCAAGGTCTGAAAACTTTTTGTGTCCAGCAGACAGGAGAGAGAGGTTTACTTCTGATTCGATCTTGGGGTAGATTCTCCAGGGGCTGGAATCACCGCACACGCTATTCCTCGCTCAACCCAGAGTGAGATCTGGATTCCAGCTCCACGTTCAACAAACTAGCTCTGTGATCCTCTATGATCCTCTGCTATAAATCTCAGATAATATGCTCTGCTCCTCTCTGCTGGGGGCCGGTATGGAGATCCAGGGAAAGAGGATATGAATACAAATGTAAACCTAAGTATACATGTAAATATATACTCATCAACTCTCTTAGAATTGACACTTAATGCAATGTCCCATTAAATCCATTTTAAAGATGGAGAAAGAGGTGTGGACCATGTAAGTCAAGTATCTCAAGCCCCAGTGGGCTATGTGCAGGGCAGGCATTGAGTGACAGCCTCGACCACCCGGATTTCTTCTAAGAGCAAGTGAAATGCCCATCTTAGAACTCTTGGGCTCCAGTGCTGTGGGCCCATCAAGTCAAAAGAATTGTCCGGGACAATGGAGATGAGCTTCTTTAATCAGATTTTCAAGATTCACTCTATTAATTTATGCATCTGTCCAACAAGCATATATTGCAGAATGACAGTGGTCCAGCTTCTGTGCTAAGAGCTGGAGATAGAGCAGTGAACAGGACGATCGCAGAGCCAGCCCTCATGTGCTTTATAACTAGCATTGCCGCTGAACCCAGGCTCTGTGCAGAGCGGCCTGTGGGGAGAGAGGCAGGCAGAAAGGCTCTGGCCGGGCCAAGTACTGTGGCTGCTCCCTGCAGGATTGGGCGAAGGCACTGATTTGAGCAAATCCTGCGCAACCTCACCCCCGTTACTGCTCTTCATCTTTAATCCTCTCCCGTGTCCCTGAATGGGAAGCTGCGCTGAGACACAATGAAAGCTCTCGAGGGGGACAGAGCTTAAAGTCCAGCCAAGTGGTTTAACCTCTTTGATATAAAAACTCAAGTGGAGAAAGAATCAAAAGAGGCAAAAATCAAAGGAAGTTGTATTTCATTAGTGAATCTGACATCCATTTAAATGGACCCCTGTATTAAGAATTCCACCTCCACCCCCCGCCTGTGAAGAAAACTGTGTCACAGGGGTGCTCCATCAAGTCAGGGGTCACGGACACAGGACATAGGACACAGCTGCTGGATAGGAACTGCACTTCAGGGTCAACAGGGCTTCCTGGGCTGGGAGCCTGGTCTCAGACTCAGTTTCCCTACTGTGAAATGGGAATGATTTCCTCCTTTCTCTCTTCTATGTGCTGAGTCAAAGTCTGCATCCCCTGAGGTTTGGGCTGAGGGACGAGGTTGGAGGAAGAGTGACGGAGGAGGACAGACTCATGTCTCAGACGGAGACATGTGTATACCGCTCTACATGAACCCATATGGTTGTACTGGTTGTTAAAATATGAAAATATTCCAAACTCGTTGGTGAACAGGCTGCCTCAGTGCCCCCAAGGCCTCCAAGATTGGCAGGGAATGTTAAAGGTGTCATGCATTGAGCATGTACAGGTATAGAGAGGGCACAGGAAAGCAGGCAGAATTCTAGATGCCCTCATGATTCCTGCCTCCATACACACTCCCTGTCTAGTCCCCAGACTCGGGGGTGGGACACTCACTCCCGTGATTAGGTTGTGTTATGGCACAGTTAACTTCAAGGCAGGGAGGTCATCTGGGGTGAGCCAGACCTAACCAGATGAGCCCGCAAAGGGACTGGGCTTTTCCTAAAGCAGGAGATTAGAAGCATGAGAGGAATCAGACAACAGGGACGGTCCCTTTGCTAGCTTTAAGAATGGAGGGGCCACATGGCAAGGAGTGTGGGCGAGCTCTAGGAGCAAAGAGCAGCCTCTAGGTGAGAGGAAACAGGGACTTCAGTCCTGTAATCACAGAGAACTAAACTCTGCCAGAACCACGGGAGCTTGGACGAGGCCCTGAGCTCCAGAAGAGCGCGCCGCTTGCTGACACTGGATTTCAGCCTCCTTAGACCCTGAGCAGAGAACACAGTCAGGTTGTGCCTGGACTTCTGGCTTGCAGAACTGTGAGCTAGTAAACGGGCGTTGGTTTGAGCCATTAAGTCTGTGGTCACTTGTCATGGCAGAAATCTAAAGCTAACGCAGGGTAGAAGGGGAACCAGGTAAGGAATAATTAGGAAAGCAGATACTGGCAGCAGACGGCCTAGCTTCCTATTTTACCTTCAGCTGAGGGATTTTTGGGGAAGTTACTTCTCTGAGCCTCAGTTGCTTTTTCTGCAAAATGGGGATGATAACAGTGCCAAGCAAAGAGGTGGCTGTGAAGACGAAGGGAAAGGTGTAGCACAGGGCCTGGCTTAGGGAGCCCTCCTGCGTGGTTGCTATTATTACCTTCCCTCCAGGGCCGGGGTGGAAGACGGGAAGGGAGGCAGGGGTGCTT